GGGGCAATGTGTGTGGCATCGGTAGTGGGAACACTGGTGGGGTGAAGTTGTGAAGCTTGTTGGAGTGTTGTTGGCGGCGGTATGTGGGGTTGTTGAGCGGGTTGTGTGGAAGGGATGTTGCAAGGTGCAGGTTGGGGTTGTGGAGCAGGTGGTGTAAAAGGAAGGTTGTATGTGGTAGGCTGGGGCTGATGCGGTGTCAGAGTTGATGGGCTCGTGGGAAAAACTGTTGGATGGGTAGGCAATAGAGCAGGGTTCAGGAAAGTGGGGGGGTGTTGTGACATGAATTGCTGGGGTGGAGGTTGTTGTGGCATCTGGGGTTGTGGTGTGCTGAGATGTGTATATACCGTCGGATGCTGTGGAATAGGAGCAGTGTGTCCACACGGCATCATGGGGAAGCTGTGCGTCTGCTCAACAGGAATCGTAGTGGGTTGTGTCGGCAGTGTGGGCTGCTGAGTGGCAGCAATGCCAGTTGGCATCATTGCTGGGTAGCTTTGTGACTGCGGTACCCAGGTGTTCGGGTGAAATTGATTCAGCACCGGTCGGGCTGTTGGTGCATATGGTGTTGCTGGTGGCTGCGCGGCAAAATAATCCGGCCACATAGCTGCAACGAAGTGGGTGAAACAAACACAGTTGCACAAGCAAAGTGCAGGCTGTCCTGGTTGTCCCTGCTGGACTGATTTGAGAGGTCGTAGACGGAGAGAAGGAAGAGGGCCGAGTACTCTCCGAAGAGAGCGCTGTTTCACTTGCTGTAGACACTGTTACCGCGTCTGCACTCATGTCAGATGCACATGCCCTTGCAGTCCCTGAGGAATAAAGAAGCGGTAAAATAGAGGGCAGACTAGCGAGGTAGCACCTGCTCACTAGACGCACTTTACTGCATTAGCCGTCCCTTACTGCACCTGCACTCATGTCAGACTCACATGCGAGCATCAGAGAGAGAGAGATAAAGTAGCATCGGGAGATTCTGAACGATCTGAACGAAGGCTGAACACCCGGTTCATCACCGGTCTCCCCGGAGGGTCACCACGGCGCCATGACGGAAAGCCGTTGCTCTGGAGTCTCAACGACCCACGCTGATCACACTGATGGATTCGGCCAAGAGTACGAGTGCAAGAGGAAAAGAGAGAGGCATGTTGTTCTTGCTTGTTGTCGCATCAAACTTCAATTGTGGCAATTGAAAATCTAATCTTGGCACAGGGGCCTTCTAATCTGGCTGGCACAGGGGCCCCAGCTCAATTTTATGCAGGTACGCCAGACTGATCAGGTCTGGTATCCACCATTACGCATAGCTTCGTTGGCATGCGTTTGCGTAATGGCCGCATGCCCCCTGCAACAGTTGATTTGGTAAATGTCCAATGCCGGATTATGTTGAAAAGCGAAATTGCAAACAGTGTAGGAGTGACCCTCTGCTCCCATGTGCTAGGGAGGTTCACACACACACACACACACACACACACACACACACACACACACACACACACACACACACACACACACACACACACACACACACACACACACACACACACACACACACACACACACACACACACACACACACACACACACCCCCCACACACACACACACACACACACACACACACACACACACACACACACACACACACACCCCCACACACACCCACACACACACACACACACACACACACACACACACACACACACACACACACACACACACACACACACACACACACACACACACACACACACACACACACACACACACACACACACACACACACACCACCACACACACACACACACACACACACACACACACACACACACACACACACACACACACACACACACACACACACACACACACACACACACACACACACACACACACACACACACACACACACACACACACCGCTTCCTTTCGGCAACCACATTTCGTTTGGTCGCAAAACACTGCATGCTCTGCAGGCGGTGCTGTATGCGGTGCCGGCGTAGCGGGGCGGGGCACATGACGCGGTGCTGGCGGCGGGTATGTCCACCCTGCGGGGCGAGCATTGCCCCATGTAGCGGGCCGTGCGGCACGGTGCGCCTGGACATCCTCCTCGACCCTTTGCCACATCGCTGCGGTGCGTTGATCTTCTTCATCTTGAAGATCTGCCCAAGACTGTGCCGCTTCTTCACGTTGCCGCGCTCTGTCAAAATCGTCGTAGGACCAGCGTTGCAGGGGTTTCCCCCTTTGCCGGGCGGTGCGGCATGACCCGGTGCTGTGCGATACGGCTGCCGTGCACGACCTCCACATTTGTACTCGAGGTTTTCCCGCTCTTCATCCCGGGCTGTGCCGGCTCGCTTTGCTGGGGCGGTGCGGTGCTTGGTGCCGGGCGACCGGAAGACGATGCTGGGCCGCTCAGTGCTTCGTCCAGCTCAGAGCGGAGCTGACCAAACCAAGCTGGTGCACAGTGAGACCTCTAAGTGCCATCACCCTTGCATTGCTGTCCTCCTGAAGGAGAATCTGGAGAACGGCGGCCAGGCTGGACATGGCGGTGCAGGCAGTGCAGTGCGGCAAAAGATGCAGAAGATCTCGAGGCAAAGGCTCTGCGACATGAGAAAAGTAGGCTCAAGCAATGCGTGCCAAAACCAAGGCATAACAGGCAGCGCAGACAGGCGGTGCAAGCAGAAGGCGGTCCTTGGTTTGCAAACAAGGTGTAGGCGGCGTCGTTGTAGAAGGCGAAGAACCTGGCAGCAGGGCGGGGCGTTGGCAGGGGTCAGGGTTAAGGCAGAACAACAGGCGAGGCAAAGAGACTAAGCCAGGGCCCAGGCACGCCTGGCGAGGCGAGCTCGAGGATAGAGGCATTGCGTGCGAGACCTGGCCCAGGGCAGAGCAGGCAAAAAACCAACAAGCGGCCGGCAAAGCAGAAAAGAGCCGAGCGGGCAACTCAAAGACTTTTCCAAGCAGTGCGGTGCTAAAGGAAGTCAAGCAAAGTGCGATCGCAGTTAGCATTATCAATGCTGGGCTCGCTGACGCAGATGATGACGGGGAGGGTGTGACCTCTCCTCCAAAGCAGCGCAGGCCTGCCATCTAAAATACAATAATAAAGTTTGGCCGACGCTGTGCAGTGCGTGTCTGGTACCAGGCCGTGCCAGACACCACCCGGACAGTGCGCAGCTCCGAGTGAGACAGAAAAGACACCACACGAAACCATGATCTCAGATCTGTCGCAATGCTGCGCAGGGCTGCTCGAACAACGGGGCTGGGCTCTGTTGGTGCAGGACCTTGACCAGTCAGTGCAGCCACGTACCTGCAATGCTGTTGCCAAAGTACGCTGCTGTGCTAATTGCCAATGATCCGCTGCAGCAGCTTAGCTCGTGCCGCCCTCCAGGCACTATGCAATTCGATGCGTCTGATCTCTTTGCGTGACCGTTGCAGTCCAATGCATACCCGGTGCTATCTTTGCAGGTCCATCTTGAAAAAGCGCTGCTATGCTGAGCGAGTCCTGGGCTTGCCAACGTGTAAGCTGTGCAGGACGGACCGCACATTGCCAGACTCCAAAGAAAAAATTGCCGTGCG